CTTGGCGACCCTACGCACAATGGAACCCAATGCTGCCCAGTCCTGCGCCATCCCCGTGATCGGTTGCAGATTGGACCGTAGTGATCCACAGGGTTTTCATTGGCTGATTTTTGGAAGTAGATCACCAGGCCTTTCTTCCCAGTCTGTCTTAGTCTGTCAGCCCTGCTAAAACCTGCTCAGCATCACAGTGACACACAAGCTACCATCGACAAAACCGGTGGTGGCTGAACATGAGGTTCACTGGCCAGGAACTGAACCTGGGTCTCCTGCATGGAAGGTGAGAATTCTAACTCCGAACCACCAACAACCTCGATCCTAGTGTAGGGAGCCCCTAAGAAACAAATGCCTGGAGTATTCAGCATCCCCCTGCTCAATGACCTCTTCATTCCCTGCATCCTAAAGGCAGCCTCTGCTAGAAACAGTCACTCTGGGTGGACATGTTGGTGGTGGTGCTGTCGAGTCGTTCCAACTCATGGTGAACCTATGTCAAAAAGAATAAAATGTTGCCCAGTCATGCGCCATCCTCACAATCGTTATGCTTAAGCCCACCGCTGTAGCCACTGTGTCAACCCATCTTGTTGAGAGTCTTTCTCTTTTTTGCCGACCCTCTACTTTATCAAGCATAATGTCCTTCTCCAGTGACTGGTGCCTCTTGATAACACGTCCAAAGTATGTGAGACGAAGTCTTGTCATCCTCGCTTCTAAGGAGCATTCTGGCTGTGCTTTTCCAAGACAGATTTGTTTGTTCTTCTGGCAGTCCATGGTATATTCAATATTCTTCACCATCACCATAATTCAAAGGCATAGACTCTTCTTGGGTCTTCCTTATTCACTGTCCAGCTTTCGCATGCAAACGAGGTGTTTGAAAATACTATGGCTTGGGTCAGACGCACCTTAGTCCTCAAAGTGACATCTTTGCTTCTTAACACTTTAAAGAGGTCTTTTGCAGTAGATGTGCCCAATGTAATATGTCATTTGATTTCTTGACTGCGGCTTCTGTGGGTGTTGACTGTGGATTCAAGTAGAATGAAATCCTTGACAACTTCAATATTTTCTCCATTTATCATGATGTTGCTTATTAGTCCAGTTGTGAGGATTTTTTTTTTTTTTTATGTTGAGGCGTAATCCACATTGAAGGCTGTAGTCTTTGATTGTACTCTTCACTTTCAGCAAGCAAGTTGTGCCATTTGCATATCACAGGTTGTTAATGAGAATTCCTCCAATCCTGATGCCATGTTCTTCACGTAGCCCAATTTCTCAGATTATTTGCTCAGCATACAGATTGAATACGTATGGTGAGAGGATACAACCCAGACACACACCTTTTCTGAATATAAACCATGCAGTATCCCCTTGTTCTATTCGAACAACTGTATAGGTTCCACATGAACACAATTAAGTGTTCTAGAATTCCCACTCTTCACAATGTTATCCATAACTTGTTATGATCCTCACAGTTGAATGTCTTTACATAGTCAATAAAACACAGGTAAACACCTTTCTGGTATTCTCTGCTTTTAGCCAAGATCCATCTGACATCAGCAATGATATCTGGAGTGACACACGCCTCTGGATTCTTGCCCCAGTCAGAAATCAATGTGATTATGAATAACCTCAGCTCACTGTGATGGTAACCCCAATTTGCTTGGAATGCTAAGCATAATTCATTTGAGTGGATGAAACTATTTTCTTACTGTGTAAGTGTCCTGTAATATTCCTGGAAAGCTTAGAATTGAAAATACAGGCAGTAGAGTAAATCAAACTCTCTGTATTAATATTCTTGCCCTAAGATTAGTAATAATCAGGATTTTATATTAAAAAGTATCTGTAATATTTCGAAGAATTTGGCATTTTGAGTATCTGACAGATGAGCATTGTGATTCCAATTTAAAACACAAAGGTTAAAATATATAGTTAGGTAATTGGTAAAATAGGTCAGTAATTGATATTAGACTTGTGATTTTGAAGGGTCAACAGTGGTTAGAAACAATGGCTGCAAATAGAATCATCTAAAACCAAACCCGTTGCTGTCAAGTCAATTCCGACTCACAGCAACCCTACAGGACAGAGTAGAATTCAAAGGAGTGGCTGGTGGATTCAAACTGCCAGCCTTTTGTCAGCAGCCAAGCTCTTAACCACTATGCCACCAGGGCTCTAGGGTCCTGTAAAAACTACTGAAGGGGTGTGGCCATATTCTAATTCAATATCAAGAGGGGGAATTTGTAATTTGTTTTTTTTTTGCTCCCCAGACTGAGAACCACTGACATAAGAGAATTTGACTAAGTCTGTGAAAACTATTGGACTATTTGCAAGAACATGAAATTCATTATGCTTATAAGTTTAATTTATTAGATTTTCTAAAACTGTTTAAGTATTCTGGCGAAATTATGCTTGTTAGGTTATGCATCTGAAGTACTTAAAAAGGAAATCAAATATGTTAAATTTATAAATGCAGTTAAAATGTTTAAGGGAATTAGTCCAAAGGACTAATTGTCCACAGCTACCAAGACCTTCACCGGACTGAGTCCAGTACAGCTAGATGGTGCCCGGCTACCACCGCTGACTGCTCTG